TCTACTACTACTACTACTACTACTACTACTATACTACTACTACTACTACTACTACTACTACTACTACTACTACTACTACTACTAACTACTACGACTACTACTACTACTACTACTACTACTACTACTGCTACTACTACTACTACGACTACGACTACGACTACTACTACTACTACTACTACTACTACTACGACGACTACTACTACTACTACTACCACTACTACTACTATTACTACTACTACTACTACTACTGCTGCTGCTGCTGCTGCTGCTGCTGTGCTGCTGCTACCACTACTACTACTACTACTACTACTACTACTACTACTACTACTACTACTACTACTACTACGACTACTACTACTTCGTCTTCTACTACTACTACTACCACCACCACCATCATGATAACGACGACGACTACGACTACGACTACGAATGCCACGAGTTCCAACAGCCTGCATGTCCGCCCGCCTGTCTGTCCGACCGCCTCCTTTCCCGCCCACCTGCATGCCTAATGCCTGTCTGCGCTCGGCGGTTCGCTGTGCGTGACCCCTCCCCCCGTCGAGGCGCCAGGGCCACGCACACCCTGCACACGATCGCCGCCCTGGTGTGCGCGGAGGCCGCCACACTGGACATCAAGCAGCCCTGGGCGGAGTCGTCATCGGCGGCGTCGTCTTCGTAGTCATCTTCGTCGTCGCCGGGGGCGCCGCCGTCGTCGTCGACGTCGTCGTCATCGCTGACGGCGTCGACGTCGCGTTCGTATGCTTTGTCATCGTCGGGGACGTCGTCTTTGTCGCCGTCTGGCGTCGCCAGGGGCGTCGAAGGGCGCGCCAGGAAAAGGGGGGAGGGACGGGAGGGGAGGGGAGGAGTCATTGGCAGCAGCATCGGTTTCGCAAGCATCGACGTCGCCACCACCATGTGGGAAGCGCCGGGAAGAAAAGAAGGAGGAGGAGGTGTACTAGGCTGCCTCGCCTAAGTCGGTATGTAGTCAGACATACGCGATCTGGCTTTCAGGCCCCGTGCAACGCAAGAAAAGGGGGAGGAGGAGGACGACGACGAGGAGGAGGAGGAGGAGCCCCAGGCACGATGGCGGATGGGCCAAAGGCCATGAGACACTCCTGGCGAAATTTGACTGGGCATCTGAAAGACGCCACCTGGTCGTGCACGAGCAGGTGGGGACGAACAGCAGGAGTCGATGCAAGGACACAATTAGCTAGCGGGGCGTCGTTGCGATTGGGCCAAAACTCGTGGCTCGGGAGCCGTTCGGGACGGTGCTGGGCTCCCAAGAAGGGCCTCAACGAAGCGCAGCTGATGCAAGACAACCTGGGGCGCGGAAGCCTGCGGCAGTGCAAGAAATAAAAAACAGTCCGACAACGTGGTCCGTTCCCTCCCCCCTGGATCCCTCCAGAGGTCTCTGGAGTTTCCCGGAGTGCCAGAAGGGGATTTGTCCATGACCACCGCCTGACAACCGACGTCATGGTGCCCCAGCGGGGGTGGATATGGATATGGATATATCTTGGCCCCCGGGGGCCCGAATAGGTCCACGTCCACCGCCTGCCGAGGTCCCCGAAAATTGATCCTCGGGGCGGTGGTCGTGTACGGCAGGTTCGTGTCGTGTCGACCCCGGCGTTGGTTTTTGACACCGCAGGGATCGTTCAACCTTGAACGATCGGCCGCTGCCGCAACGTCCGATCGTTCAACATCGATCGATTCTGGGTCGCCGGCGGCGTTCAACCTTGAACGTCCGCGCTGGGGTCGCCGCTGGTCGACACGACGCGAACCTACCGTATAGATTCCCGCCGCGGATGGAAGCTTTCGGAAGTCCCCAGGGAGGGCTCCGGAGGCCCCAAGAGCACCAAAGCACACCAAACTTGTCGAACCTCGAGCGCTGCGAGCCTGGAGCCTCGAGCCTCCTCGGGGTGGACGGCACGGGGGGAAGTCCAATGTGGGGCTCGCGAAGCAGCTGCCTGCAGCTGGTTCTTCGGGCACCTCCTGGCGCTGGAGGCGACCGTACATCGAGGAGAGCGCCCCTCCGCAGCAAAAACTCCACGAATCAATGATGATGATGATGATGATGATGATGATGATGATGATGATGATGGTGATGATGATGATGATGACGATGATGATGACGATGATGACGATGATGACGATGAAGCTGCTGCTGATGATGACGATGCTGATAATGATGATGCTGGTGACGATGACAATGACAATGACGATGACGATGACGATGACGACGACGATGACGATGACGATGACGATGACGATGACGATGACGATGGTGATGCTGATGCTGATGCTGATGCTGATGCTGATGCTGATGCTGATGATGATGCTGATGATGCGACTGCCTTCGGTGTTCCTCAGTTGCCGATCAGCACGAAGGAAGATCTCACTGAGAAGAGTTAAGATGTGTGTCTTCACTCTGCGAACCAGTGACTACGTCTGCCCGAGCTGGGCCCAACCCCCCTCTTCAGGGGCAACGATAGGGGGGGATAGGCGTAGGGGGGGAAACATCGCCCCGGAATCGGCGATAGGCCCCCGAGAGTGACTCCGCACGTTCCTGGGCAAGTTGGGGCTATCGGGCCCCTATCGGCGATCGATGGGCGATCGGGGGTCGATGTGCATTCCCCCCCCATGGGCCTGTCCCCCCCCTGTCGTTGACCCTGGCCCGTCCGCCCCGATACTCCTCCCGCCCCCGCCCCCCGGAGGAAGGCAGCAGGGCCAGGAGGCGCGGGACGCGGAGGCGCGCCTGCGGACTGCTCCGGGGTCGGATGTCAGGTGCGTTCCATCACTGTGCCGGCGGTCGCATGGCCACCCAGAGAAGCGAGAGGAGGGAGGGGCCGGCGGCGTGCCCAGGGCGCGGGCCTGCGCAGAAGGCTCGGAAGGCCTGGGGCCTGCTGCGAAGGCTTCGGAGCCTTCCTCGAAGACGCTGAAATGAAAGGGCCCTGGGACACACAAATAAATACACACAAATAAAATGATCCTCCATATTTTCCTATATTTTCTTAGTTTTTGTCTTCCCCCCCACTTCCCATATTTTCCCATATTTTCCTGGGACTCGACAATTAATTGTGTCTGTGTGATTTTTCCCTCCTGATGAAAGCTTATCCGGAGGACCAGGAGGCTTCTGAAAAGCCCCGCCGCCTTCTGAGAAGGCCTGCCTCGTCTCACTTCCCCCCTGGGCGCGCCGCCGACACGAGGGAGGCAGGGGTGGCGGGCTAGGCGCGGGGACGGCATCATCAAGGAGGGCCAGAGCAAAGCCAGGATGCATCAGCCATGCTGCAACAGACCTTCCCGTCCCCAGGTCCCCTCATCATGGGTGCCTACAGCAGGTTCATGTCGTGCCGATTTCGGCGTTGGTTTCTGACAGTCAGACCTGTCCAAGGGTGCCAGCCAGAACTTCGAAAGGGGTCCAACCGTGACCACGCCAGCGCCCCAGGAGGCTCAAAGCCAAAGACCTTCGAACCGAGGAACCTGGGCGACCAAAAGGTCGTCTGGCCCTCGGCTGGTGCCTGCTCCCGGAGACACGGCTCCCAAAAGATGCGCACCTCTGACTTACAGGGGGTCAGATTATGTTTCCACCGGCTTCCGCTGGCCTTCTGCCGGCTTCCTCAGGCGGAGGCGCCCGCATTATGTTTTTGCTGGCTTTCCGCCGAGGACCAGACGCCAGCCGCTCGAGCCCTCCATGGCGAGGCCCTCTCTGGAAGGCCCGAAAACGTCCAGAACAGTCAAACCGTCGAGCCTCGAACCTGGACGACCACGAGGTCGTCTGGCCCTTGGCAGGTGCCGGACAGCAGGGGCGGACACCCCAGGTCGGTGGCACTGCATGCCTCCAGGGAGTCCGAACGCCCACGTGTTCGACGAGGCGCCGGGGCGAAGGGCGCGCGAATGCCCACGCCGCCTCCCCAGGCGTCCTGCGCCTCGGTGCCTTCGCCGCGCGGGACCCGCACCTTTCAACCCTCTGCACGTGGCTGACGCGTCGTCCCGACAAGCCCCGCGTGCCGAAACGAACTTCCAGGATTCCAAACACGGCCGCCTGGAGTTTGCTCGAGGCGCCGGACGTCCGGGGCCGTCGCGTCCGAGGGTGGCCATGACGACCGCGGGGGGCGCTGTGCAAAGGGAGCCCCGGCGCCAGGCCCCGGGGGGGACAGCGCGCCCCGCGGCGGAGCGCCAAGGGGGGGGCCCACTCGGCCTGAGCCCTGCTCCAGGGCTGCGGGGCGCCCGTCGTCGCCGCCGATGGCGCCGCCGTCGTCGGCGTCGTGGTCGCCGCCGTCGCCGTGGATTTGTCGTCGTTGGGGGCGCCGCTGCTTGGCGGAGGCGCTGTCGCCGCCTGTTGTCGTTTCCGTGGTCGTCGTCGTCGTCGTCTTAGTCATCGTCGTTGTAGTAGGATTACCAGAGATAGCAATAGACACACTAGTAGCACGAGTAGTGGGACCCGAAGGCTGATGGGACCCGATCGAGCCCGCCACGAGGGCGGCATCGGCGCCGCCCGCCATGCGGGAAGGGGGGGTCCCTATCTGAGTGAGGCTCGAGGTTTCAAATCATGCGCATGTACTCTCGGCAGGTGCTTGCCTCCAACTGGGCGCGGCGAATCATATAGATGATGTGGTCGGCCTACACGCGTGTTCATTTGGCGTCTGGATGTGCTGGCCAACAGCTCAACGCTGACAAAAGGGTCGAGCCGAACGGGCTCGAACAGGAGCGGCACTGGCGGTGTCAAATGACGACGTCGGCGATGTCGAACCGTTTCGCCAACGGCATGCTGGCTGCAGGACGCAGCAACCGCACTCCAGCTTCTGCCACGCTGGCAGCGGGCCAACGGCATGCCAGCTGCACGATGTAGCAGGCTCACTCCAGCTTCTGCAACGCTGGCAGCGGGCCTCCACCGCCGCGGACCTCGTGTCATGCGGCCGCGGAAGCTGGCGACCTGCGGAGAAAGGGAGCGGCCCGCTGAAGGCTCCCTGGGTGGACCAACCTGGCCTAGAAAAGCTCCGCGCCAAATTAGTGGTGGAATAAAAACGGGGCAAAGAAGAGCAACGGCAAAGAAGAGGGACACCCCCGCATATCTGCGAGTCAGCGGATCCGAACGTTTTACCAAAGATCCCTGACATACTGGCCAGCAGCTCAGCATTGAGGAAAGGGTCGAGAAGGACAGGCTCGAGCGGGAGCGGCAGCGGCGGCATCGGCTGACGCCACCGGCCGGCCTCCGCCGCCAGCCCTCACTCTTGAGGTGGCGGCGTGGCAACCGAGGGTGCACACCGCCCAGCTCAGCTTCGGCGCGGCGCCGCCGCGCCGCCTGCGCCAGCGAAACTGCGCGGCGCTGGCGCTGGCCCGGGGCTGCCGCCAGCGCCCAGCGCCCGGCGAGCCACCGCTCGGCCTCGGGAGCGGGCACGGCCAAAGCAACGCCGGCCGCGCCGCCCCTCGCGTAGGCCCTCGGGAAGGGCAGGCCGCCCTTTCCCCTCCCCTGGGCCTCTTCTCCGGCCGACGGCACAGGGGCCAGCGCCCCTCTGGGCGGGCCTGGGCGTTGGGGCACGCGGAGCCCAGCTGCCCGCAAGCGCCCAGCTGCGCGCCAGTGGCAGCCTCGCACGCGCGCCAGCGGCGCGGCGACCAGTTGGCCGCCCCCGCCCAGCCCCCGCCCTCTCGCGGCGCAGCCTTCGTCGACGCTGCGCCAGCACGCGCCTGGCAGGCCCGCGCAAGAGCCCCTTGCCAGCGCGCCCCGCAGCTGTCGGCCACTGGAAGCCGCCCCAAGCTGCCACTGGCTGGGAATAGGCGCCCGCCAAGTGAACTCCGGCTGGCACCTCCAGGGCATTGGCCGTTCAATGGCTGGTCAGCCCGCGCGCCCTGCCGCGCGTCGGTGGCGGCTACGCACGCCTGGCTCTCAGCCAGCGGCAGTCTCCACTGAACCCGCTCGCCTGGCCTTGTCACGGCTGGCGGCTCGCCTCAGTCGCCGCGGGGCTTCAACGCGGCCTCACGCGTGACCCTGTCGCCCCTCCTGAACCCCTGCACGACAGCCACGCACACCACGCCATCTGAAAGTCACTGGCCCCTGCGCCCCCGCGTCGAGGAAGAATTCCCGGGGGCGCTCGGTCCAAAGACCGTTCCTGCTCTGGCCCCCGCCTCCCAGATTCTGCTCCTCGGACATGCACTCGGTCGTCATCTGGCGCCCCCGATGCGCCCCCAGCAGCACCCGACTCCGCGGCGCACCATGACCAGCACGACGACCACCACCCCCTTCATGCGCAACAAATCCCCCGTCGTCAGCACGGCGATTGCGCGCGCTTCCCTCGTGCTCGCGAGGGGCTCCAAGTGACCGTTGTCCTCCCCCGCCGTCTGGGCTACTACTTTGCCGGCCGCTCGCCCCAGGCAAGCCGCTGCGCCCGTCGCTCTTGCCGGGGCCGACAATACCCGCGCGGGCCCCGGGGCGCCGAGCCCGGCGGCGCCCTTTTCGCTGGTGCTGTCGCGGCCTGGCTTCACAAGGGAGGACTCGCCCATGGCCACCTTCTGCGCCACCCGCACGGACACGCGGGGCCCCCGCAGGCAGTGGCAGGCGCGGAAACTGTCCGACGCCCACCGCCAGAAGCGCCCGACTCGCTGCGAGTCGCCGACCACGCGGCACATCGAGGTTGCGCCCCCAATGCACAGCAGACCTCGCGGGCCGCCAACCCGCTCGCAACCGCCGCCACCTGCGGGCTGCAGGTAGCACCGGACCTCCTCCCGCCCGACGGAAGTCCCATCCGCCCATCGGAACACGGGGGGCGATTGCTCTGAGCCCCTTAACCTTCGGGCGAAGTAGGCCTCCAGCTCCGCCCGCGCCGTCACCGAGCTGAGCCTGGAACGTGCCGGGCACTGGCTCCTCACGCAGCCCACATTGCATTGGTCCGTCTTGGACCCTGAGATGTGGACCACGACCTCCTCCGCCTCCGCCATCCAGCGGGTCGGCCGTCTGGCCCCGCCGCCCCCCTCGACGTCGCTGCCCTGCGCCGCCCCGCCGACGCCCCATGTCCGCCCTTGCTGGCTGGGCGGGATACTCCGACGCCCGCAGCACGCAGGAGAAAGCCAACATGATGGTGGACCAGAGCGCCGCTCGGCCCGGCACGCCCAGGGCGGCCTGGCTGCGCGGGAAATCCTGAAGCCAGCACAGCATGCGCGGCGCCACGGGCCGCCCCCTGCCGCGCGGGCTCCGCGAGCGGCGCAGGCCCGCCGGCATCGACCACGAGCTCGCCCTATGCATGGGGAGGTCGGCGCAATTAGTCCGCAACCAGGTGGGCCCGGCGGACCGCGAACAGCTCCTGCTCGATCGCGCGCACCGTCCTGCACAGGACCTGCGGCAGCATGATCACGAACGCGATCAGCTCGCCCACGTTAACCTCGCGCCCCCCCGGGGCCTCGCCCCTCGAGCCAAGGCGAGGCCTGCTGGGCGGATCGGAAGGCGAGCCACTGCTTCCAGCCCCCTTTCGTAGCCCGAGCGCGCCCCCCACGACGGCTGCTGCACGAGCGCCT